CTTTATCTCAAGTACATACCCTTTTCCTCATAAAGACAATAACGGGTAACAATCAAAACACAATATCAATAGAAGAATCAGGCAACTTTAAAAATAATAAAGCAACAAACTTTTAGAATATATCAGAACAACAAATGAAAAGAACAGGCAACTTAGTAACAAATTCAGATCACAATATAAACAACAGAATATCCAACACAACAACACCTACAACAATATACAGAGAATAAAAACCAATATGGAAAATCATAATATTCAATATTCAAGGCTTAATAGAGACACACAAATATAAATATAGTTCAATTTTTGTGACACAGCAGACTAAGATATTATAGTTACTACAAAGACAAATAATTCAAATCAACAATCAAAATACTGACAACATAAAAAATTTCAAACCATATGGATCTACAAAGAATCATAAACCATAGACAAAGCCTTAATATAATGTTCAACAAAAATATTGAATACAGAATCTACAATTATAAAACACTTACAGGTAGACTCATTGCAACCAACCTAACCTTTCCACACAAAAAAAAATAAGAATAATTGAAATAAACTTTCTGGTACAAGGCATGGAAAAAGAAAAGCATATAGTACTCAACAATCTAAGTAAATAGATTAAAGAAGCAACAGAAAAAGGATGGCACCTCATGGTAGCAAGTAATATAAATAGTGTTCCCAATCTAGAAATTGACACATATAGTAGCACAAAGACAATCAAAAATACCACCCCTTAGAAAAACAAATATAAATTCTTCTGAATAACAACTTGAAAGACATATATAGAATACATAACTCCACAAAAAAAGAATAAATATGTAATAGAGGGAGAAATAACAGCAGAATTGATCAAATATGGATAAGTTCATAGGCAACATGGCAATCAAAAATAGTCACTATTCAAGATATTACTACACTATCAATTCTAAGTGATCATCTAATAATAATAGCAGAAATTGAAGTATAAACCTTATTATATTCAAACAAGCAACATATAACAAACATAATTATAGATATAACTGGCAACTTGCTATAGTCCAACAATTGGAAAAGTTCAATAATCACATTGAGTACAACATACAAACAAAATGCTCAAGTCACTATTCCTTAAACCACAGATAAAATTAGTTTAGTGATACCATTCAGAAAGTAGTCAAAAAATGAATTTTAAAAAAGAAACTCTATCAAAGAACAATTGATAGATAAAAAAAAAAAAAAGCACATCAGTCACTCCAGATTCTAGTGAGTATACAAAGATCTGTTTTAGAACTGGTAATTATATTCAATAAATTAGAAGCTGAATACCCTGATATATATCTTGAAGAATGGTTTAAGGTGATCCAAGGCAACATAAAGGCATACAAAACAGTCGCAAAAGCCATCTCTCATAGAAGACAGAATACTAAATAAGAAGAAGAATTCTGATAAGAAAAAACACTATAACAATAATAAGTATGCCATGATCAATAGCATTCTAAAAAGACCTATAAGATAGATACAACTAGACAGACTTATTATTTAACAAAGAAAAAAAATACAGATAGTCACAAAATCAGCAGAAATCAAAACCAAAGTAAAGAAATACTTTTATAACTGGACATTACATAGAAATATTCAAAATTTTGAATAACATCCCAGATGGCAGTCCAAATACAGACCCAAACCATATATCAAGCAATATTACTACAAAGGTATATTAGAAGAGATCACAATAGAGGAATTCATATAAGCAATCAGACTATACAACTCAAATTTAGCCCCAGATCCTAACCAGATACCATACTTAGCATACAAATATCTAAAGAATAAAGCAAGAGAAGACCTAAGAGTAATTTTTAATATAATTATTTGACAAGGCATTACATATAAGAAATGAAGTAGAGAACATATATACTCAATATCCAAGCCCAAGAATCAGGTACACAATCTAGATATTACTAGACCCATCATACTACTTAATATGGGAAGAAAAATATTTATTAAAATTATTATAGGCAGACTGGTCAAATGTTTGACTTACAAAATAATACTATCTGAACTAAACTGGACTGTACTTCCAGATAATAGTACTCAAGACCCAATTCATATAATTAGTAGTATTATTGAATATGTGAAAGAAACTAAAAAACAAGCCTAGATTCTGTGTCAAAATATATTGAAAGTATATAGCTACATTAACTTAAAGATGTTACAGTTGTTTCTTCAAAGAATCAAAGTATTAGAAACAATAATAAAGTTCTGCTCAGTATATTTCAAGATTGTCATAATGTAGTTATAATATTTTATTGCTTAACAGATAAGTATTAGGTAAGAGATAAAATAGATTAAGGAGACACAATATCTCCTTTGTTATAGTGCATCTTCTATAACCTATTACTATCTATAATTAGTCAATAACATAAATAATATACAATCAACTTGAAACATATATAGAACTAAAAAAAGAGTGGGAAAAGAAGACTATTAAAATAGTAATCAATATATATATAAATGATAAAACATGGACAATAAACAATAGAACAGATCTATAAAGAATTATTCACACAACAAAAGAGTTCTATCATATCAATAATATCAAAACTAATTCTAATAAGTCGCAGTTAATTAATATTAACAGTGCAAAGGAAGACTTGGAATAAGAAGTATTGATAAACAATCAGAAAATACAAGAATGCTCTTTCAAAATATCAGTCAGAATTTTAGGAATCAGATACAATAGCTCAATATATAAGGACTATCAAAAATTTCTAATAAAGCAAAAATAGCCAGTATATATATATATTAATCAAAATAAAAATGATCACTAATAAACAAGTATAATACATAATCAATCATTTTCTAATGCTCGGTATAGAATATTTATGCAATGATATAGTTTTAACCAGATAAATCTGCAATTGGCTAATGGGCAAACTGGTAATAATATTCAAATATAAGATAGGACTCACTAATATATACTTAACAACATATTATACAATAAATATGAATATAATATAATATATTTATAAAATAGAGTTCAAAAAAAAAACTCTTTCCCACAGATTCTTTTTTTAATAAAAATTTCCTTTTTAGATAATTTTGTGAACTAAGAAGAAAAGTGAATGGAAAAATGAGTTCTCCAAAAGAACAATAAAAGCAATATGCTTAGGGCAGACCCAACTACGATAAGAATGCCCTAGCTAAAGGTAACACAAGGTTATCATGCAAAGAAATACAAATGGTGAAAGATAAACTTTTGAAGAAAGATAAAGGAAAAGAAAAGGAAACCCAGCCAGAAAACCCTAGAGACGAACTGCAGCAATACACAGACTCTAGCCAGACTTCCAATCCCTATCAAACAATGGAAACAAGACAACAAAACAACAATCTTCATAGAGCAAACAAGTAAAGAAATAATCTGGCCAAATTTAATAAACAATAACAATCAAGCAAACATAGGCAACATGACTACCAGATCTAGTACCAATCAAGAAGCCTAAAAGATTATATCTGACAAAGAAGACTCTAATATAGAGATGGAGGAATCAAGTAGTAGCAGAAAGGACGACCAACAAAGTGAAAAAATATGGCAAGAGGTCACACCCAAAATCAGAGAATGACAAGCAAACTTAGCAAGCTCAAACCAAGAACCCCTATCAATAGCACTAATATATTTGGCAGAGAAAGGGTTAAAACAGGGATCAAGGCCTTCCTTATCCCAGGAAGAACTACCAGCCAAAAAATTACACATATAATCAAAAGCCTTAACTCTCTTAATAGTCTCCTCTATACCTACAGTAAAGGAAAAGGTGAAGACAAACATATCATTGCTATTTTTAGTAATCACTTCACTGCAGAAGAAGCATGCAACACTATCTTATTTGACACCAAAGATGCGTATCTAGAACATATGGCCTTCCAATCCTCTAAACCAAATAAAGAAATGAGTATCAGAGTATGGAATATTCCTATAAACACTAAATTCATAGATGTATATTAAACATTCGTCAAATATGGAGAGATTACCAATATTTCCATGTCAATACAACAAATGTGACAATCAGCAATCATTACAAATGCAGATCAATAATCAAAAAAAGATCTAATAAACAAGTGGAGTATCCTGTTGCAATCAGACTCAGTCAGGATTTTTGACGCACAATGGGACATGGACCAAATGAAAGCACGTGACAACACCACAGTAAAACTGACCAATCTTCCTCCTAACACCATAGCCTTTGATCTCAAATACATATGTAAACAAATAAAAGCAAAAATATGCTACATTACAAGACATATGTCATACAAATGCAAGTGATTTGCTATAGTAGGATTCAATAATCAGAATGATCTAAAGAATACAATAGTACAAAACTTTACCATGGGTGAAACACAAACTGAATGGAAACCAATCAACACAAAACTATGTACAATATGTGGCAGCACAATGCATCTAATTATTCAATGTCCTATTAAGGAAAGAAGGGAACAGTGGAACCACTTTAACACTTAACAAGCAAATAGATTCGGCAAACTCTATAATAGATTTAGACCTGCATGCACTGAAACAATCAGATGTAAAACTCTGACCAACAAATATACCAAAACCAGACCAGGTTTATATGCAGCAGCAGTCAAAACAACAAAAGAAAACAAAGCAGTGGAACAGTCACATCCTCCTGATCTAACACAAATTCTAAACATCCTTAATGAAAATAGACAAGAAATTATACAGATTAAAAAGAAATTGTAGAACTAAATAAACACATCATCAATCTCGAGACCTACGACAAAGAATATGACAAACACATGGAAGAAAACACAATTTTGTATGGTGAAAGAGAAGATAACTCAACAATAGAAGAGGTCCCTACTAACAGTAATCAAGATATTCACACTCACCAACAATGAATCCAATCATCCATGCAAAAACTAGATCAAAATATGGATCACATGTACAATGCAATTATTGATTTCTTTGCAGGTAATACACAAACTTCTCCAAATCAACAATAATGAAGAGTAACCTGAACACCAAAAATATACAACACCAAGAAATACCTAGTATCAATATAATTACCACGCTATCTAATACAACATCATATCAAGAAGAAATTCCTCAAAATTCAACAAACATAATAACAGACAACAACACACTTCCATTAATACATGTGATAAAATCTATACAGACAAATAGACATCTTTACAAACTCATCTAAAAAGTTATCACACTCAACATATAAGGACTTGTAGAAACACAAAAATGAGAAACATGGTTTAACTTTTGCAGCTCAGCAGAATGTGATATCATAGTCACTACAGAAACCCATGGCTCACACTACTAATCAAAACACTTGCAACATACAAAATATCAAACCATTTAGATACATAAGAAATCCAAAACAAGCGAACAAGGTTTCAACATGATGATCAGCAAAGAAATAGCTTATCAGATATACAACTATAAAACACTGGCTGGAAGACTTATCGCCACTGATCTGGCTTTTCTACACAAAGAAAAAATGAGAATCATAGAAATATACTTTCCAGCACAAGATATTCAAGGAGAAAAGTGCACAGTCACCAACACCCTCAATAAATGGATCAAAGAAGCAACAGAAAAAGGTTGCACATTATGGTACTGGGGGATCTTAATGGTGTCCCTAATCCTTCTATGGATAAGCAAAACACTAACAGGGCAAACAAAAAGTGTAACCCCTTAAGCAAACATATACAAACTCTACTAGACAATGGATTAGAAGATACATATAGAAAACATAATTCCACTAAATTTGAATATACATGGAATAGAGGTACATTGAGTAGCAGAATCGATTAGATATGAATAAACCCTATAGCAACCTAGCAATCTAGAGCGGTCAATATTCAAGACTCTACAGCACCTCTTATACAAAGTGATCACAAGCCAATGACAATGAAATTGGAAGTCTGATATTTAGATAGACCCAAACAAGTCTCACACTATATACCTAACCCTTGTCTAAATTGGTATCTGATCACAACTGAACAATGGAAAAAGTTCAGTAAACAAGTAGAACACCACCTCTCCACCAAAAGTACAAGCAACCAAGATATTAACCAATGATAGAACTGCTTTAGCAATATTCTACAAAAAGCTGCAAAAAGTCACGTACCTAAAATGAAAAAGCACTGCAGAACAAGAAACAAATACAGTAATACAGAAACAGTTCCTCTCCTCATACAACTGCAAAAATTTCTTACATACCTTAGACAGTCAGCAACAGCAACAACAGAGAACAAAGTATTACAGTCAATCGAGCTACCTAGCCAAATACAAGAACTTCTTCCAGATCTAACAGTAACATTGAACAAAATAAAAATTAAAAATTTTTTCTCATACATCCAACACTGGATCAAGGTCATCAAAGATAACATCAAAGCACACAAAACTGTCACCAAAGCAATCTCCCTGAGAAGACAAGTATAGGTCATCAAAAAAAGAATCCATGACAGACAAGAATATCTTAACTGCAACAAAAGAGCCATAATAAATAGCATCATGGAGAGACCTAGAAAACAAATACTTCTCAATAAGCTAATCATACAAAACTCAGAGGAGATTAAACTTCTTTCTGAACCAACAGACATCAAGAACAAAGTTCGTGAATATTTTTATAACTGGACCCCATTCAAAAACATTGTCAACATCACATAACATCCACACTGGCTAGAAGAATACAAGTCTAAACCACACATCAAGAAACATTTCTATAAAGATATGCTTAATAACATCTCGATATAAGAACTGGAGAAAACAATTAGACAGTGTAGCTCAAAATCTGCTCCCAGGCCAAACCAAATTCCTTACATTGCATATAAACATCTGCAAGGCAAAGCAAAAACAGAATTGTATGCAATTTTTAACCTAATAATTCAATATGGAATAATATCAAAAGAATGGAGCAGAGGCCATATCTATCTTATACCCAAGCCCGAAGATTGGGCAAACAATCTTGACATAACTAGACCCATGACACTCTTGGATGTAGGAAAAAAGATCTTTACCAAAATTATCACTGATCACTTAACTACCTGTCTTGCCAAACACAAAATATTATCTGAACTCAACTGGAATGCACTTCCAGGAAATAGTACACAGGACCTCATATACATTTTAAGCAATATCATTGAACATGCAAAGGAGAATAAACAACAAGCTTGGATCCTAAGCCAAGACATTTCCAAAGCATATGACTCAATTAACATCAAAATGCTACAGCTAGCTCTCCAAAGAATACAAATATTAACACAAATCATACAAATCCTCACCACTATACTGCAAGAGCGATCCAATGAAGTCATAACCTGTTTTGGTCTAACAGAAGCATACCAAGTAAGAGACGGAATTGATCAAGGTGACACAATATCTCCAATCCTTTGGAGAATCTTCTATGATTTTCTTCTCTCAATGGTTAGCCAATATCACAAAGGATATACAATTAGCTCCAAAATTTGTACTGATTTAAAAAAGGGCTGGACAGAAAAGATAACCAACATTGCAGTCAGTGCATACATGGATGATACTAACTGATTGATGAGCAACAAAAGAACCTCCAAAGAATAATTGATACAGCGGAAGAATTCTATCACATAAATGATATTCAAGTCAACCCAGCAAAGTCACAACTAATTGCTATTAATGCAACAGAAAAAGAACGTCAGCTAGGAATCCAAATGAATGGCCAAACAGTACAGGGGTGCCCAACAAATACATCAATTAGAATTCTTGGTGTATGGTATAATAGCTCTGGCTGAAAAGACTACCAGAAAACTCTAATAAAACAAAAAATAACAAGCACACATACACTCCTCAGCATGAAAAAAGTAACTGACAAACAAGTACAATACATTATCAATCATGCCCTCATGCACAGCATTGAATATCTCTGCAATGACATTATCCTAACCCAACAAACCTGCAACCAATTGATGAGCAGATTTACAACTGTATTCAAGCACAAAATTGGACTTGCCAAAACAGTACCCAATAATATATTATACAACTAACATGAATATAACATAATGCACATTTGGAATAGACAAGTTCAGTTACATGCCAATAACTGGTGCACCAGGATCAACCAAGAAAACATCACAGGAGACATTGCTTGCCACCACCTTCAAAAAATTACAGAATATGTTCTGGTCCACCAGAGAGATATATAACAATATCCAGGCCCTATGCTCGAACCAGGAAGAAACTTAACAAATGATATAATCTGAATGCTCTGAACACATGGCTTTACCTTTCACAGAGTTTATAACAGCAACTTTTATATGATAGAAAAAATAGATACTACCATAGAAGAAATAGTAGAGCCAGAGATATATAGGAAAATCTGCTTAGGACTAAATAGACACAACATATTCTTCACCAGACAACTTCTCAATGGTGATAGGAAAAACATTCTACAATAGTACCATGTTATCAGAATTCATTGGAAGACAGTACCAGGCCCAACCCTGATATGGATCTTCAATTTACAACATATCCTCACATCATGGATCTCAAAAGAACAACAAGAACACATGAATCACTTCCTACAATACAGTCTCCTCACTGAAGTACAAACAACGAGACCTTACTGGATTGTCATAACCATAAACAATCACATAGTAATAGGAAGAAAACAAAGAAAGATAGACAACAACTACACATTATATAGATACTACACACAAGTCCCCAATCAGTCTCCACTCTTTGAATGTGAGGGCTGTGACATTAATCAAAACAACAGACTGGAACCTAAGTGCACTTTCACAACTATTAATAGAAGTACAACTTCAATTCATGTCCAGTGCAGGACCTATGAATCTATAGCACAGTGGTAGTGCTCCCAGGTCACAATCACAAGGTCCAAAGTTCAATACCATATGAGGGCCAAGTGAAAATATCGCATCACAATGAATTCAGTACTCCATTGGGTGACAGTAAAATGTCATTGGGCATAGACCTGGTTATCTTACTGATAGCTAAAATGAAAGAATCCACCGCTACATGGTGTCACCTGTAGCTGATCTTTACTAAATCAGGTCAGTTTATAGGTATTGTAAAATGATCAGTATCTTATCAATACCCTGATAAGGTGGAGGAGGATGGGGCTGATCTCGCAGTTAACCAGAATGAAGACTGAATTGACATCAGGTACCTTGACAATCTTACCAACCACAAGAAGTTGCTGCAAGTTAAAAAGGTTGAAGTTCTGAAGTAGAGTAAACATTATACTGATAAGATGCTTAAAAGCATGGCCTAATATGTGGTAGTGCTTATCATCGGGAGATCTTGATGGGAGGAGAAATCTGCAAACCATGCCGAAGTTCAAAATTCGGGGACAGGCTATAGCAAACGCAATGGTCTGATAACTAGATTACTCTATAAAAAATTGTTCTAAGAAAAATTAAAAGAGTATCGTGTGGTTTCCTTTAATGGGCTAGTTAGTATATATAGTATGTAATATATTTATTATGTATAAGTCATCATATGTACAATATTATTTCGAAGTAAATAAAAACTACAGTAGAAAACATTATACAAAAAATCAGATTCTTCAACTACAATATATGGATTGACTGATGCCTACACATACAAATCTGGGAAAAAACAATGGGCATCACCAAGGTAAAAAAGAAAGAAGAGTACAAACACCAAGGCATCAAACTACAAGCATCTGTATTCCAACAGAAATCTCATCTAAACCATGGAAAAAATCATCATAGGTACTCTAAATATCTTCAACATCTTCAATGAACACACTAACAGTGCCTAGGCATGTTAGTTCCTATACAGGTACAATAAGCCACAAGGAGTAAGAAAATCGAGTTCCACTGCCAATTGCGGTGTGTTCCCATTACCAATTGATTTTATTGTTTTACCATAAATATAAAAAATAGTTTACAAATCTTTCTGTAAAACAAAGTATATATTTGCATATAATCAATAAAATAGGCATGTTAAGTGTTATTCAAAAAAAAAAAAAATGTCCAGCGCAGCAAGATATCAACAAGATCTAATCTGTCAGAAGTCAATACTGTACTAAGAAACAGAGTATCTCCCAACTCAGTATCAATTGCACTAAAAAATCTGCAGCACACTCCACTCCCAACCAAATACAATAGAGTAGAAGGCCCAAATGCAGAAACACATCACATCATAAAAGAACTTAAAACAGTAAATACAGAACACAACATTACTAGCAAACTAACCAACATTGCACTTCAAATTCAAAATGATATCAACTTCGAAATTTATACAGATAGCTCTATGTCTCAACATGGTAATCAATACTATATGGGTTTTGAATTGATCATTATCACCAGAAAGAATCAAGAAGTACAATTTTAAGGACAAATAAAAAACTTCCCATTCTCAACCAGAGCCGAATTGGTAGCCATCATAATGGCAGTAAGTGTACTACCCACCTATAGCAGGGCAAACATATACACAGATAATTAGGCTGCTATTAACAGTATACGAAAAATAATGAAATCAAACCACATACACAATTTTAAAAACAAAAAAATCTATGAATCTTACAAAAGATCTATGATATAGTCAAATACAATCACCTCAAATTAGAATTTACAAAAATCAAAGCACACGCTGGAAACAAATATAATGAAAAAGCAAATCATCTAGCCACTATCAACACCATTAATGGTATGACTTTTGGGCACAAACAATACACGTTATTCCCACCCAAAATTAGCAATACACATTAATTCCTCAATGGGACTAATACAGAAATTGAGATTCCCATCAAAAGTATGGCAAAAGAGCTAACTAGGGCCACACCCCTAGCAAAATGAAGACTCCCAAATAGAACAAGAAATAAATTCAGTGACAGGATAATCAGACACATCCACTGGTCTACAACTCTGAAAAACCTCCAACCGACTCAAATGAACAATCCCATGACAGATTGGAAAGACCAACAACAGAGGAAGTTCAATCTCAGTCTCTGGAATAAATAATTACCCACCAAAACTAAACTCTTCAGCTGCTTGCCCACCTTATATAAAGATGATAAATGTATTAAATGCAATAACAGAGAAACAAATATTCACACATTTCTCTGTAAAGATCAATGAGGAAAAACAGAAAAGCATCTTCAAAACATCATAATACAAAAGATACAGCAATTCAGCAAAATATCAAACACAGAAAGACACCTACGTGAATATCAGAAAAATAATTTACTACACTTTTTAGATTACTTAAAATGCCTAGTCAAAGGAGCCATATAAAAAGAAACCATCAACACAGTTATCAAATGTATAATAGACAACTCCTTCAGAAAACAATGCATAAAAGAAATCTGACAAGACTTCAGCAAATACCTCCTCAGCATATGGAAAACAAGATGTGATGACTTTCACAAGTGGAAAGAAATACAGGGTATCATAAAAAAGATTGAGAGAACCATCAGATATAGCAACCCAATCAAAAGCAACTGGCTCAATAAAACAGAAAGACACATAAAAGACCAATTCATCAATTTGGTCAATAACTACATAGGTAAATACATAAAAAACATTACATACACATCAGATATCTTTAAAATTTTATATAGTACTAGCCCAGCCTTGGCTGGTTAGTCCTCAATAGGGGTGGCAACAAGTCATGAGTTGAATTTATTTTCTTTTCTATTGAACTTTACTTGGTTAACATAGGTAGCACTAGCATAGACATATGTATACTCTACTTAATCCAAATAAAGCAAGGCTGAGCCAGCAGTTTAAAAAAAAAAAAATTCTTCATTATCATCAACTTTAATTCATTATTTTCAAAACTTGCATCATTTAATCTCAGATTTTGTTGATTGTTACTTAATGATATAATTCGACTTGATGAAATATTTCTTGTTCTGTGCCAAAATGTGAATTCTTCATTTGTTGAATATTCATCTTTTGATTTTCAATATCTATGTGAAAATTCTGTTTATTAATTAACAAGTGATCTATTGCATTTACTACAGTTGCAAGTAATTTTCACTTTTTTGGATTTTTTTCTTAAACTTTTGTTAAGTAAAGTTGAAATTGAATGCTTTCTTGATATTTTGAAAATTGACAAATAATAACATAAAGTGGCAAATTTGTGATTGATATATTAAATAGCTTTGAATTGTAATATACAATAATATAAACATAATATAATAAATATTATATAGTATAATATAGTATGTGACTTTGAATTGTAATATAATATAATGTATAATAGTATAATATTATATGCAGTCCTGAATTGTATTAAAACAATACAAATAATTTTATTTAAATATCCCTTTAATTTAATATTTCTTTCTAATACTTAAAATGTTCAAACAAAAAAAATCAACGGAATGCACTTTTTACAGAGAACAGCCACCTTCACTTTCACAACATTCACAACCTTTCCTGCTATTACAAACTTCTTTTACATTAATTGTATCAGAAGTGGTAACAGTTCGTTCAGTAACACCTGATACCAAATCTTCAATCCCTACTATGGCTACCAAATTACTTAGAAAATGATATCTATTGTATTGCCTAAAATAATGGTATCTGAAGTTGCACAAATATCAATACTAGAAGTTGAATTGCTATCCAAAACTCAAACCAAGAAGGATATTGAAAAAGGTTAGAATTAAATTATTGCTGAATTATTAAAATTTACCTTTATTAATTAACTGATTTATTTAAAAAATGAAGAATTACGCATGTGGGACAAAACACTAGAAAAAGAAAATATCAAATTTGTAAAACAATTAGACTTAATGAAATATATTAATAACAAGTTTTCTGAAGAATCAGAATAGCAAAAAAATGAAAAGATTTAAAAAAGGAAAATGATCAGCTCAAATCTGTGCAATCTGAACTTAATCCTATAGTTGTTATAAAATCTAAAGCAGCTGATATATCAGAATCTGAAGGTTTGCTGAGTTTAGAAAGGTGCCAAAAAATTTAATCTAGGAGTAGTAAAGAGGCAAAACTGATAAAACTAGTTACCGAAAATGAGCCAAAATTAAAAGAAGTGAGAGCAGAAATGAAGACCTTAATGAAAACCATTTCTGACAAATATAAACTGAAGATAGATGAAGTTTTTTAAGTGATATAAATAAAAAAATATTACAAAAGTTAATACCTAAATTAATAAAATCCAGGGTTTCATATTTTAATCCCTTAAGAAAGCAAATAAATGAATAGTTAGGTACTTTACATCATCATTAGAAAGGAAAATATTGAAAGATGGAATCTGAAAAACTGGAAGTAGACAATTGTCACTTATATGCAAATAGCCAATTAAATAAAGTAAAATTAATAATATTTTGTATTTATACTATCTTCAAGTATTAATTTTTAACGAATAATTAAGAAAAGAGCATGAAAAATTAAAAGTGCACTTCACTTATTAAATAAAGGTCAAAGAAAGTTACCAAATATCAGAATGAATTAACTGGTGTAATCAAAGAAATAAAGATGCATTCACCTGAAGAAAATAATACTGATCTGGAAAATCCTATTAAAAGAAAAATAAATGTATATAATTATAATTGATATTCTAAAGAGATATTTTTGGGAGGGTAAAGAATAAATTTGGGAAAAGTGCATGAATGGGTAAAATTGAAGAGATAGTTAGGTTAGAAGAAAAAAAGTGAAAAATCTTGAAAAACATTTGACAAGATAAAACCAATTGAGACTAGTTTTAAAAGAGTCAAGCTGAAATCTTTAAAGGAAAAAGAAAAGCAAGTGGAAAAAGAGGAAGAGGAGAAAGAGAAAAATGACGAATAATTTAATTAATTGATTTTGTAATTTTTTAATAAATTTTATGAAATTTGAATTTTTTATTGCAATGATTTTTTTGTCAAATTTTTTATCATAGTATTAATTTTTTTGTTGAATTTTTTGTCATAGTATTAATTTTTTTGTTGAATTTTTTGCTGCAATATCAATTTTTTTATCAAATTTTTTGCCACAGTATTAATTTTTATTAAATTTTTTGCCACAGTATTAATTTTTTTGCCAAATTTTTGACCACAGTATGCAAAAATTTTTTTGTCACAATATACAAAAATTTTTTTTGTCACAATATTGTCAGATTTTGTGCTGAACTTTTTTTCACAGTATGTCAATATTTTTTGTTGATTTTTTGGTGATATTTTTAATACTGAGTAACAACAATCATAAATAATTCATCAATCTTTTTATTATTAATTTTTGCCAAATTTGATAATAATTTGATAGCAAAATGACACAATTTTGACTAGTGATTATTTCTTAAGTTATATCTAGAAAAATAATTTTCAATTATAAATAGTAAGCTAAAGAAAAAAATTTTTATAATATAAAAAAGTTTTTAGTATTTTATAATTGATTTTAAACTATTATTAATGATTAATCAGAATAAATAAACCATTATGATTTAATTATTAAGTTAATATCAAAACAAAAATAATAAGTTCAATCTTCAATAAATCAATTTATTTGAAATTTATTATATCAAAAATTTTTAAAATAAATTTAGAATAAAAAGTAAAATTGATATCTTTTTAGATTTTTTTTTTTTAAAATTATTGAATAACAAAATTCGTCAGATTTTTCACACTTCTACCATCACACACTTCCCTAGTTTATGTCATAATTTATTAATATTACAATATATAAGTGCGACCTATTTTTAGGAATGATGTCGAATTATTAGATTCAAGTGATCAATCGGGAAAAAAAAAAAATATTTTTTTCTCACGAAAGAGAAATATAATGGGTTCCAAATAGGTTTAGAATGTCTGTGCATCATCTTGGATTTGTTTATTACGTATTGTAAATCAAATTTATCAGCCGGCGCATATTATAAAACAGTTCGTCATCATCCGAATTTGAACATTCATGTGGGTAGATGATAAATTGCATTCCATAGGTGACTAGGAATGGTTCATGATTAAGGTAAAAGCTGAAGTACTTGTTATCAGTTTTTGATTCAGTGCATCAAAGCGAACAAATCAACCTAATTTGATAAAGAAGCTATAAATAGGAAGTATTAAAGTAGCAAGATGTTTGTTTCATTTATTCATTTTATTAATATCAGTAGATTTAAATTTTTCTTCTTTCCTTATTTTCTGTGCACTCGATCCAATTAATATAGACAATGACAAAAATGACGTCGTCAACATCATCATTCCAACCTTCCAAAGACGACACCGCAGCTGCACCCACGTCCGCTCCTGATGAAAGTAACACACCAATTGAGGATAAAGAAATCGAGGCGTCATTCGTGACTTCACAGACTAAGATCCCCATTGACACCAATAATCCCGCAGCCACTCAATTGCAAACACCCTCGCAACGAGTGAAGTTTAGCGAACCACAAATTCCATATAGACCCAAGACACCAAGACGAAGGAGAACTCCATATGCCTGGGATGATCAATTAAGGCCTGTTTACGATGATGACCACTCGAGAAATAACAAGAAAGGCGTCAATTATGGGACAAAGAGAAAAGTTGCTGACTCGAAAAGAATAGAAGTTGGCGGTGAATTCAGAGGCGACGATAAGTTGAGAGGTGCACAAGAAGAGGGCGATGACAACGCGTGAACCTTTCGTTCTGCAAAACTTTTTGTACAGACATAAATCCAAAGAGAGTTTTTGTTCGCTAGTTTGACCTTTTCTCTTGCAATGTTTAATTAGAGAAAGCTTTTTTCTTCTCTTTTTTTTTTTTTTGTGTCAAGCCGATTAACAGGTCATTACTGATTTACTCTGTTACATCTATGCAAATATCCATATTAAAAGAGAAATAATTTCATTGACATGCATAATTTCTTTATTTGAAAAAGGTGAGAGGAAAAATGATGCTTTTTATTACAGATGTGTGGTCAGCATAGGCTAATACCCATTAGGTAAAGCTTCCCTGTGCACATCGAATACGTTTTTTCGGAATAAAAGTGGGAAGCATGATTATTATTAAAAGGTATTGTAATCCGAGAGGAGAAAAGAATCAAGCGTTTCAAGGCATCCGTCCGCTTTTTCGATCAGACGATTACATACCTCGGAATAAAGTCTATCCCTAGACTGCGCGTCTGCACCCTACGCTTGACCATTCGGGAATTCTTCGTTCAAGCTGCCGAGCATGTGCGTCACGTGAAACACATACCGCTAATGAGATTGGTCATGGAAGTTCGCTTAATCAATAAACAAAACATTAAATTCTTTAATATACAAATGGAAGATGGCCGCTTTTGTCATACATTTTGAAGAATGCGATGTTGATCAATATTTCAAGAAATTCTACTCGACACCTCTTTTATATTACAATTTAAGACATTGTAGTATGTAAAAGTAATTGAAAAATGTGATATGTATACAGTATATATATATACAGTATATAAGAAGAGGTCCATGCGTAACTCAATTTGTTTTTCTTCTATGAAAACTTACGTAAATAATGGACTCACCAAAAATCTATTACACCTATCAATCGCCCGTATTCTTTGGCTACAACCCGGATGGAAGGAGAGTATGTGGTGTCTACTGTATACTGACATTCGCTTCATCAAGTATTATAATATCCATCCTCTTGATGACGTGTCTTTATTTGGCATATAACAAGCGAAAACGAAGTACGGTGCAAACAGACGCCGAAACTCAACAATGCACGCACAATGTATTAAACACAAACCGAGCGGATGAAAATGATCAACCCACTCGTCCCAGGAATGTTTTACGTCAAAACTCTCGTTCTCGACGAAACCAACAGAACATAACCGTGGGCAATCTGAGCGTGTCTTTGTTTGATAAAGATAACAGAGGTAGTTCCTCAAATGAACTCGCAAGACGTGCAGCCGCATTCGCTCATTCGTATCCACCTTCGGATGCATTGCCAAACACCCAACAAGTTGACCAAATCATCTCACAAAAAGGTTACGAAGCGTGGAAGTTTGTTTTAGATCGGATGATGATTGACGGAAATGGAATGCCCAGCATAAGCAGCGAAGGACGTGTGGTGGAATTCGGCGCAAGTAAACGATACTTGAAGCCTTCCACCAAAAAAACTGCGAACAAAGATATTTGTGTACAATCCAACTTTCCATTCTTTTGGCCAGTGAGAAGTGTTGAAGAAGAAAAACGAAGAGAGGCAGTGAGTAGTGGGACGGAGTTTATGCACTACTTCGAGATTACATTGATTTCAAGGAGCAAATATGTAGAAAATATGGCTATCGGTTTGACAACCAGACCATACCCATATTTCAGGTGATTATATTGATTCACTGAGTTCATTTGCTCCTCTTCCAGAAAAAATACTAACTCACGGCTTTACACAGATTCCCAGGATGGAATATGCATTCCGTGGGCTATCACTCACGCGACGGAAGCGTCTTTCACGAAAACATTGACGGAAAACGCTATGGTCCCTCATGGGGTGATGAGATAGGTGAAACGGTAGGCGTGGGATATCGACCAAACACTGGTGAGGTATTTTTCACGAAAAATGGAGAGTACCTGGGTGTGACATTGAAGAATTCAAAACATGTATGGTATCCAACAGTGGCGGCTGATGGCCCTTGTAAATTTGAGATAAACTTTGGAGATAAGTGTAGGGGATTTAGATTTGAGAAGGCAAGAAATTATGGACCGGGTGCACCCTTGAAAGAGGATTGAAGTAAATAAAATCAAATTGGTTGACATATTAGGTTGTATGTAATCTTCCTTGTAAATACTAATAACATAATTGACACAAAACCATGCGACAATTGGTTTCTCCCAGAAAGGAAATTCGCAATTATTAAAAATAAGCAACACGGATGACTCTTCTGAAACGGGGGCAAAAATAAAACGATCCTTGTATCAGTATCCATATTATTTATTATCCATTTGTTTTATTATAACCTGCGTACACACGACAGTATGTTACGCCTTAATCTTAAAAATCAATCGCTTCGCACTCATCTTTCAGGAATATAGGATAATTGGGTTAGCACAATTTAACGTACCACCTGTAAAAATAAGATTCAGTCCAATCATAATTGACAACATTGTTTATAGCCGATAACTAAACATTTATGATTTCTTTTACCCGACAGTCTCAACTTCATACTAAGCATATAATGATGGCTGCATATTATAAGCTCGGTTCCGACGGCAATCATGAATCCGTTTTACGTGATGACTCTGTTCATGTTAGAAAACAATAAAATATTTTAAGATTATCATAACAGATAACAGTTGCGAGCTCCGTGCATTATATCAATCTTGCAAATCCCTCATTTTTGGGGCGAATAAATACCGATTGCACTCACGAGCTATTCCATTATACAATCATATATGTAAATAAGATTTCTATATATTATCTATGCACGATAATTTTGAGCAATTAAAACATTTGTTCACGTGTTAGTATATCATATTGTTTCGTCGAAATTTGCGAAACCATTATTCAATTACTAATTTTTTTTCATTTGTTGTTACTTTTTTGTAAATTTAAAATTCTTTTCTTACATTACCATTCAGTAATTTTAGCAACAATATCTATATGGAAAGCAAATAATAAGACATAAACAAATTATTTATAGAAAATAAATTTCTCATATGGAAACTTCGTTACTTACAGTATATACAGTACATTTATTTATTTAAAGAACAAAATTATTATTAATTTAGATTTTTGCTATATCATATTGTTAAATAAGTTGCATATACTGTATTTTGATAACTTGATTTAAAGAATATTATTTTTTCTTATATGTTTAGCCTGATTTACTTTCTTTAAAAAAAAAGTTTTTTAAAAAATTCTTGTTTCTTTAAAAAATTTTTATTTAATTGGAATATTTTTTGACTTTAAATTATTTAAGAAATTTATTTTAAATGTTTCATTAAAAAAAATTTTTTTTTGAAAGTTTTTATTTAAATAAACAATTTTCTTTATTAATTGAAATATATTTTTTTAACTTTAAAATACAGTATATGAAAAGCTTATTTATTGATTATTAAAATTATGTAATATTTAAAGAATTTATTATCTTGATTTTAAAATAGAGAATTTTATTTTGTATTTTTATATTTTCTACTTATAAAATTAAAATTTATAATTTAGTTAAATATTAACATCAATAATATTTCAATTTTATTTGATCAAAAAAAAAAAAATCTTAGATTTTTAAAAAATTTTTTTTCTTATTTGAAAATATAAGTTAATATATTATATATTCTTTATTTATAATTTAATATTATGATTACTTTTCTTGAAAAATTTATTTAATTAAAAAATATTTTTTGTATAATTTTTTAATAATAATAATATTATTATTATTAAAATATATAATTATAATCAATAAGAGCTTGTTTATATTTCAGAAACTAATATATTTTATATTAATTAATTATTTTTTATAGGAATTATCCTAGTTAAAAATTTAAAATCAAATTAAATTAAATAAAATTTTTTAGAAAACAATAAAAGTAATAGTTTTAAAAGGGTTTAAATAACTGGTAAAAGAAGAAAATAAATCTTTTTATTATAAAAAAATCTTTATAATAACTTATTTCAATGGTAAAAAAAATCTTAAAATATTTTATAAATGGTTTTTTATAAATGGGGTTTTTTAATAAGTTTTTTATTATTAATAATAAAGATATTACTTAACTTTATTTAATTATTAAAAATCAAAAAGATTTATAAATAAATAAAAAAATTAAAGTAATTTTAAAAATAAATTTCAAGTTATTTTAAAAAAATATATTCAAAAAACTTTTATACAAATAATATTTTTATATATAGTTAAAAAATTATCAAAGAAATATTATATTAAATTATTAAATAAAAAAATAATGATTATTAAAAAATAAATATAAAAATAAACAATAATAAATAAATAAATATATATTATATTATTATTATTATTTTTTATTTAACTTGCAGTCAGGTTAGTATGACTTGTCTTTATTATATATATCAGATATTTACAAATTGTTACAACTTTCATATACTAACTCACACATTGTTGAAAAACTATTTCTCTAAATTTTTTTTTTTTTTTTTTTTTTTTTTTTTTATATCAGCTCAGCTATGTTTATTAGTGATAATAGAATAAAATTCAAAGTATATTGAAATTATTACAATTATTAAAAATGTTATTAAACTTTCTAAAATCTATTGGTTTACCAAAATGCATGTTACTGCTCCAAACCTGGGGAAACTAATTTAAAATTACTTTTAAACTAGTGCAGGAATAAAAAGAATAATACCAGGGTACTACCGGACGAGTACCTAAATTTTCTTTACTACCAACCATCCACTGAAACTAATACCAAGGAGAAGTTAACACCTATGGATTATTTACTGGAGTACTGTGTCTTTTCATTTTTGAAAGGGAGAGAGGAGTACTTCTTTTACTTCTTCTTCTTCTTTCAGACGAAAGGGAAATGGTTTTAGAGACCAGCTTTATTGATACTATCTCATCTGGGAGTCTGCCTAGGAGACTACTTATTTAAAGATCAGATAGGACCTATAGGCAAGAGGGTACCTTAAAACCTGTGAGAGGGTTGATGATTCAATCCTAAAGATAATATCAGCTTCAAGTATAAGCTACTTATTTAAAAAGGCACAACTCTTTCAAAGTCAGGCTAGGTCTTTAGGAAATCTTCCAATCTGGCAATAGTTTCCAATGAATACTTTTACTAGAAGTAAGATTGGTGGGTATCACTGACAACCAAAGTGGCCATACTTGAGGGGGAGTCGTGTTGAAAGTCTTGATATTGATCTTTAGTTTGTGGTCCTTTTACAAACCATGAAATAGGAATAAAAAATCTGCCGGCTAGAAAAAATCTCCTATTCACCTTATTTGTTTTTTATAAAAATTAAACAAATCTTTTTCTATCTGTAAGAGCTACTAGAACCTACTTGACTATCAAAAATAGGTGATTTCAATACTAAAAATGATTGAAGTATCTTGTAATCTTTGCTATGGTTGGATGGACTTTTTTTTTTTTTTTTTTTGATTTTATTGGAGAATACAGTTTCAACAGATAGGCCTAAGTATATACAGTTCTTAAAGTGCTTATACTGGATTAAGACGATGACCGCAATGAGAGCAACACCTATCTGCAAGGGTGGTGATACAAGAAGGAACACGTAAAACACATATATGTCTTGTTTATCTTTTGTTACTAATAGCGTTATCCAACTTCAAATCTCTAGCCAATGAAATTTCAGCAGATCCAGTATAACCAAAAATTCAGGATCAGAAGAGGTAGGCAAAATTTCTTAAAAAAAACTGAAATTTTGTTTGCATGCTTCAGGAAGCTTGGGGTTTAGTAAATTTCCTAGAGGATAAGACCACTGCATATAGCATAGCCTTTGGCAAATACTCTTCTTGTAAATCTGCCTGCCCTATTATAGAGTCTTGGAGGGGAGTCTTTAATCAAAAGTCTTCTTCCTAAGTATCTTTCCTTGCTATTAGGAATCCAGGTTCTACCTTATTCACTTTTGACTTGAAACCAATATTCAAGTCAACCAGAGGAACGAAGAAAAGATAAAACTGAGTGAAAGATGCTTTGTAGTATATTTACAAAGTGTATTTAATGATAGTGTAGCAACTTTGTTAGTACAGAAGTATAAAACTTCTGACGAACATTGCTTTGGAATTAGTGATAAAATTGATCAGTGAAAAGAGTTAATGATTATATGGACTATTTTTCTAAATACAACATAAGGAATGATATTTTACTTATTTACTAATTTGAATAACTTTTCTAATTAATAAAGTTATTATTTATAGATTATTACTATAGATTATTCTAAGTTCTGTCTACAGTTAAAAACTAAACCATTTGATTTCACAACAAATCCAATCCTTAATAATTGCTATATACTTCTTTCCTTCTTTTTCTTAGTACCTTTTAGGTTTAGATTTTTCAAAGGTAATGGTACTGCTTTTTGATTCTATCCAATTTATATATTGAATCTATGCTTATGTCTTTTATTTCTTTTATTTTTTTTGATAATCTTTTGATTCTTTTTCTATTTTATAACTTTGACACAATGATTATTCCAGATCTCCTTTTTGAAGCTTACTCATATTTTTTGATAGAGCTTATCAATTATACTCTGTGTAGTTGCAGGTGGGATCTTGAATTGTTCTTTGAGATATTTTTTTAAGGAGGTAATTTTATTTTTTTCTATATATTCACAGATAATATTAAAAAGGTCTTGTCAGATTTTTGAATATCTTTTAACCATTTGTCTATCTAATTGTTTATTACAGGTCAGACTTCTTCTTTATCTTTAACTTCTTTGCTGATATATTTATAAATCTTTTCATTTGCTTTTTAACATATGTTTTTCCTGGTTTCTTTAGTAGCTGGATATTTAAAGAGATGTACTAATATCTCTTCTTAAAGTTTACGTACTAGACAAATAGTTATAATGTATACATCTGATTTCCTTTTCTTAAGTATTTGTAAAACTGAAAGTTCATTGTGAATTAGATTAGTTAGAAAGCTTTTGTCTTTATTGACCTTGAAAGAGATATTAAAAGTATTGGTTGGATTGAACTGATTCTAAAAGATTAGCCAATCTATAAATTTATTATTTTGGATTCAAAGATTCTAAATCCTTTTCTATATTGTCCAATCTAGTTCAATTCTTTTTTATTAAATATTTT